TCTGATATTTTAAACATTAATTTAATAAAAGACCATTAGAACCATAGATCCTTATGATAATTTTAAATTAAATGTTACCATCTTTTGGATGGACGTATGGGGATACCATAATCTTCCTTATATGTAATCATACTCAGGAATCCAATCTGGTTTCAAAGACTAGAAACCCGAGTCAAGCTTGGGATTATCTATTTAAAAGGAGACAGATTTAGTTAGGTAGCTTATTGCACCTAGACAATAAAAAATTGATGGCAACTCTTGAAGTTATATCTACCGATAAATTTATAAATTTGTATGTTATGATAATAACTATTAGGATAGGATATTTCGAGTATGTTAAATCTTCTTAAACTTCTAAAGGTTTATACTTTATCACATGGCTCGAGTTAGAGACATATTTTCTCAACATAGACACATGAAACACACACACACACATATATATCACAGTAAATCTTCAAAACATCCCGATATAGAATTCGGATGTCACAATCGAAAACATGTATTTTCCGATTCTTGTTCCTTAAGCCCAAAAACGAAAAATTCTTTCCTCGTAATAGTTAAATTCTAGCAATGAATTCAAAGGAACACTTTTTTTTTTTAACAAGAAAGTTTAAGGTGAGGAAAAAAATTTTTAACAAGAGCATATCATAAACACTAAAAATGACTTACATTAGATTTACAAGTCAATGACTTACATTAGATTTACAAATCATTTATCGAAGAGAAATTCAATCAACTTTGGTTGAACATTAACAAAAGAATATTTCCATATACACCAAATGTTATTTATTCGTCTGAACGTTTTTTTTTTCTTTTCACACGACAAAAATGAATGAACTTCGATAAAGAAACAATGAGTCATCATCATTTTAGGGTCAGAGAAACAAGCAAGACTTTTCATATTAGCAGAAGATCATAGTATATTTTTTCGTGGTCTGCCCTTTTATTTAATTATAAACTCTTATTTAAATATAACATGTAATTGAAGTTGATTTTGGTGAGCACTTGTTGACGAAGACTATCTCAAGTCCAAATTAATCAATGTTATATTCTCAACGACCTGGTTAACTTGGCTCACGAATGCTTGACTTTTTCGCTAAGGAATCATCAAGGAAGAGAAATGTAGTTGGAATGTGACACGAATCAAGATCGTTGTATGATCTGATGCAGGAGCAAACATTGCAAATACAAGTTTTTTTTTTTTTTGGGTTTTTTCTTAAAAACGTTTTAGCCGACACCTGATTAATTTTCTCTTAGTTGGTATCCTAAAGTTTGCTTCAACCGTGGGTTTAAGAAACAAAATAATTCTGCTTTGAACAGCCAGAAAAAGATAGACTGCTTTCGAAATTCTCATCGAAGTTTGATTGTCTTACCAGTTATTGAACAAATTGTGCAGAGCAGGTGAAATGTGATCGAATTTGAAAATTTGTTGAGATCCAATTGAGATTGAACTCAATTAAGTGAACGATTGATTAATGAATTCAATTGATTGAATAAATTAATTTGATTTTAATACAAGTGTGTGTTGAGCCTAAAGCAACAAACCCATTGACGTAAAAGTAATATATTACAATAAACTTATAATAAACAGACAATAATCAATAATGTAAGAAAATAAAATTCATCAAAATTTATATGAAAAATCTTCCGACATAAAAGAAAATATTAAAGATTACTAGAAAAGTTTTCGCATCAAATAATAGATATATAAAATTTTTTTTACTTAAAACTAGAGTTAAATAATAATAAGAGAGATAATTAGAGAAATTTCACTAAATAGATGCCTTAATAAATATATTTTAAATTTGTTCTTAAAAAATTTCAATTTCAATTTTCACAATTTAAAATATAAAACATTGAATTATAAACATATTAATAAAATTTCAACTCAATCAAACTACAAATCAATCTCCATTCAACCCTTATCAAACTAATAACTCTTCATTGTCCTTTTTTCCTCATCTCTTTTTCTTTTCTTATTTTTCTTTCTGTCTTAGTTTTTGCGCGGTTCAACTTTTTTTTTTTTTTCACGCCACTTGACAATAGCCCTCCTTTTTAATTAAACATAAGGCTCCTAAGGTTATAAAAAGCAAAAGACCCATGGTCTTTAATTTGTCCAAAGAAATGGGCTAGACCCACGTTCTCAACAGTGTAAACACCCCTAATTATGATATTATTCTTGGCACCGAATTTTGACCCTCTCAAAGGGAAGGGCAGCTCGAATTCTTCAATGGGAACACTGAACTAGTTAATAAATTAATGTATAAAGCAATTGCAAGGAAGCAATGACAGCCTCAAATCTCAATCACCAAAAAAATTTACGCAAAATTTCTTGCCCTGCTTTTATCATAGGCTTCATTCTGTCTAATTAAATATGATTCAAATTTATATTTTTATTTGTAAAGTCTGAGTAAAATAACCTAGAGCAATGTCTTTTGCTATAAAAAATTCTCGACGCAATGAATTAATTTTCAACACTTGATGACCTGAAATGTAATGAAAACAGCTTTAAAGACTCGGTTAATGTTGAAAACATACGTCCTCATTTCTCCAGTAGTAACTCATTGACAGGTTCACTCCCTAGTTTCTAAGCTTTCTTTTTCTTGAGAAAAATATGGTGATTGGGATGTTAAATCAAATCCTTTTCCTGCTTTTAGCATTCTTCTATTTCCAGGTTGATTGTCTTCATTCATCAACTCATTTCTGTCTCGCAGACCAGAAAGCTGCTTTGCTAGAATTCAAGAACACCATTTCTCTTTATGGTTATTGTGTTCAATTTATTTCCCCCAGGACAAATACCTACAACGAAAGCACAGATTGCTGTTCTTGGGAGGGAGTCAGCTACAACCAGTTGACCGGTCATGTAAACGCCGTTAATCTTAGTGGTAGCTGCCGTTACGGTTCTCTCCCTGCAAACACCAGCCTCTTCCAGCTTCAAGGACTCCAACGACTCCACCTTTCTGACAACAATTTCAACGGCTCTATCCCATCAGAGTTATTTCGTCAGTTAGTGAGTTTAACCCATCTTAATCTCTATCATTCTGGATTTTCTGACTTAATCCCACATGAAATCAGTCTCCTATCCAATTTGGTTTCACTGGATCTTTCCAGTTATTGCTTTCCGGCCAGCTTGAGATTTGATGCCCAAGCTTTTGACATGCTTGCACGAAACTTAACCAAATTAAGAAACCTTGCCCTTCAATGTGTAGATATGTCTGGTGTTGCAGTCACTTCCTTCGTAAACTTTAGTTCATCTCTGGGACGTTTGAGTCTCGGAGATTGTCAATTACATGGGCAATTTCCTAGTGAAGCTTTTCGCCTTCCATACCTCCAACACGTAGATTTAGATTGGAATCAAAATCTCACAGGTTTTCTCCCTAAGACATACTTGAGTCTTGCCCTTGAGTTGTTGGACCTTTCCTTTTGTAGTGGGTCAATTCCTGCATCATTTGGAAATCTCACTCAAATCACCTTCCTAGATTTTTCTGAAAATAATTTTGGAGGACAAATTCCAGATGTTTTTGAAACCTTAACAAATTCACTACTTTGATATTTTCTTCCTGCAATTTTAGTGGTCAAGTTCCATTAACTATGTTCAACCTCACACAAATTACCCATCTAGATTTGTCACATAAGAGATTAAAAGGTGCCCTGCCAAATCATGTTAATCAGCTTCAATTGCTTGAAGAACTTTCGTTATCCAATAACCCTATAAGTGGTGGAGTTCCATCTTGGCTATTTTCTTTGCCATCTTTACGAAGTTTAGACCTCAGCTATAACAAACTCACCGGTCAGATTGACGAATTCAGAAGCCTAATTCTGTCCAATCTATTGATTTGAGTTCTAATGTCATTCATGGTCCAATACCCAGTTCTTTATTTGATCCTGTTAACCTTAGCGTTCTCCATCTTTCATCAAACAACTTGAGTGGTGTCATCGAGTCAAATATGCTCTTCAAACTGGAAAATCTTTATACTCATGATCTTTCAAATAATAGTTTACTATCACTAATCACTAGTGGCAATCATGTAAACTATTCCTACCGTGAACTTGTTAGAGTGTTGTTCTATTCATGTAGCATAAAACAGTTTTTCGGACATCAAGGTTAGAGGTTTTAGATCTTTCCAATAACAAGATTACCGGCCGAATTTCCAAATGGGAAGCAGAAGGGTGGGTAGAATAAACATGTTGAACCTTTCTTGCAACTTTCTTACCAGTTTGGAGCAATTTCCAGCAAAATATCTTCAAATTCTTGATCTTCATTCCAACATGCTTCAAGGGCCAATTCTCTCAACTTCTTGAATCTTCAAATGCCAAATCCACCACTATTCTTGAGCATATTTTTTATTTCAGAGAATAAATTGACCGGAAATATACCTTCCCTGATTTGCAATCGGACATCCCTTGTGGTTCTCGACTTGTCTAAAAATAGCTTGAGTGGAACTATTCCAGAATGTCTTGGAAATGTCAGCTATGGTCTCCAGTTCTTGAATTTGCAGATGAATAACTTTTATGGCGAAATCCCTGATTCTTTTATGAATAATATGTTGAGAAATCTTTTACTCAATGACAATCAATTGGAAGGATCACTGCCTCGATCTTCGGCTAACTGTAGTTCTTTGGAAGTTCTCAATTTGGGGAACAACAAATTAACTGATACCTTTCCCCATTGGTTAGCTTCACTTCCAAGGCTGCAAGTTCTTATCCTGCGATTGAATAGATTGCATGGTTCTTTGCCGAATTCCATAGCTTCTTCTGACTTCTCCACATTGAGAATAATTGATCTCTCTGGAAATGAGCTCACTGGCCCCTTGCCAACAAATTTATTCCAAAATTTGAGAGCAATGAAAGATGTACCTAAAAAGCCCCTGTCGGAGTAATATTTATTCAAGACAGATGCTCGAACTAGATATGTTTATGAGTACTACCAAAGTTCTGTGAATGTGACAACAAAAAGATTGGAGATTGAGTTGGTGAAAACCTTAGCCATTTTCGTAGCCATGGACTTTTCAAACAACCTATTCGGTGGACAAATTCCTGAGGAACTTGGAGAACTTATTTCGCTGCAAATGCTCATCTTCTCTCACAACAACTTCACTGGTCCTATTCCACCATCTTTAGGACCTAAGGTAGCACTTGAATCGTTGGATCCCTCATCAAATAAGCTTGGTGGCAGAATTCCTTCCCAATTGACGAATCTGACATTCCTTGCAGTGTTAAACCTTTCAGAAAATAATCTCATCGGACCAATTCCCCATGGGAATCAATTTGATACGTTTGATAATGATTCCTACAGTGGTAACTTGGGATTGTGTGGCTTACCATTGTCAAAGCAATGCGATAAACGGGAGGACGGAATCTATTAGATGAAAGAGGATTATCTTTAATATGTTTTATGATCCAAGAGACCTAGACACAGTAAATCTCCATATGCAAAATCATATACATATATATATATATATATACATTTGTATAATGTATATTCTATTATAATTAATGAATAAGACTAAAATCATGCATTTTATCAATGGCAATCAAATAGAATTGTGAGAAGCTAAAGCTTTTAATTGGTGCAAGAAATTATAAGAATTAATTTTCCCATATATTTATTTAGAAATTTTATGATTATGCAGTTTGAGAAGGCCATTGAATGCTACATGAAGCAGCATGGAGTTTCAGAAGAAAAGGCATGCAATGAGATCAACATGCAAACTGAGAATGCTTGGGAGGATTTAATTGGGGAATTTGTACTTAGGCCAACATCTGGGTCCCCAATGCCCATCCTCACACGAATTCTCAACCTTGCAAGGGTGATGGATTTGCTCTACAAGGAAGGAGATGGGTACACACGTTGGAAATGTTGCCAAGTGTGCAATCACTTCATTGCTCATTGATCCAATCCAAATTTGAACATCGAAGAATTTACAAATAATAATAAATAAGAAACTAAAAAATAAAATTGTTCAAGCTGACAAGAATTGAAATCTTTTGGTGTTATATATGAGATGAAGAGATTCATTGTCAGAGTAATTTCTCTTTCTAATATTAAAATGTATTGCACGTTCATATAATTTTATACATGTTTAATTTTTTTATCTTTTTTTTTTATTTGGGACTGATGTATATTTTTTGATGTATTTTTTATGACTCAATATTTAATATTGTTAACATGTCTCAATTTTATTGAATTTTGTCTCTACATTTTTTCTTTAATTTTTTTTTTACAAAAAAAATAACAAAATTAAAAATATAGTGATAAAATTCCATAAAATTAAAATATAAATAATAAAATTAAACATTAACTCGTAATATAACGATAAATTTGACATTAATTTCTTAATAATTTGCTTACATTCATTTTCGACTTCTCGAGCAAAGAATATGTGAAGCTCAAAACATGAGGAAATTTGGACCTTTGGGCTCATTGGACTGGAACATGAATAAAGAAATTTCAGATATAGATCGTCTTTGCTCGTTGCTACTATTAATGGCCCAAGCTAGCAAAAAGACAGGTAGAGCTTATAGAAGTTAAAAATTGGGCCTTTGGGTTTGTTGGACAATATTTTGGTTCAGCTTTACAAATTTAGGCTTTAAAAAACAATGTTTTATGGGTAAAGTAGTTTGGAAGTGGGTTTTCTATTGGTCCATAAACCCTTTTATTCTGCATGTAAGCTTTTACTTTAGCTAATGGATTTTTGGTGTAAAGTTGATTTAGCTAATTAAATATCTATTCGCAACACTTTCCAACCAACCAATGGGAATATAAGGCAGAGGATCCTCTTCATTATTTAAAAATTTCAGTCAAAGTTTTCATTACTTTATATGAAAGTGATAAATACACTTTAAATTAAATCTATGATTAAAATTTAATAATTTAATTTAAATATAAAATTAATTAAAAAATAAAAATGATTTAAAAATTATTCATTATATATTTAGTTGAAAGTGTATTTATTAATAAATAAATAAAAATTTTCATTGATTTTTAAATAGCAGAAAGGATCCTTTCTCGAGAATATGATTTTTGTGTCAACTTTTGCTTCTCCCAGTTGCAATTAATGGGTTTTGGGGACATTTCTACTTCTTTTTTCTATAATTCAGTATCAGGATCTTAGCTTAATAAATTTACATTTTGTCCTGAATTTGTTGTAATCATATGAGAAATAAACTTAATTGATATCATGTGATAAAGTAGATTGTTAATATGACAGATAGCTACTTTCTTTTTTTATATAAGAGATTGACGATTTAAAAAATAAAAAATTAGTACAAATTTTAGAACTCAATCTTCAGAAATCCTTTTTTTTTTTTTTTTTCTAAATGTACCACCCACAACTGTTTTAGAAGTTCATAAATAAAACTTACCCATCACTCCCTTAAATATGATTATTTAAAAGGGACTTGAAAACTCACATTTCACATTCATTAATTGGTCCAAATAGAAAAGAAAAAGAAAAAACGCAATTGAATCTGGTCAAAAAGTTTTGGAATATACCAAATAAATGTCACACCACCTCCTCAAGTTGGCAATCTCATTCAACAAAATAAATATTTTATTCCTTTAAGATAGTGGATTTGAAAGTGGATTTTCTTTTTTCTTTTTTTCTTTTTTTTTGGTTTCAAATGGGGCTAATGCCCGTATAAGGGAGAGGGGCATGGCCGGGATTGAACCCTCGCCTAAATGTCTTTCTAACGGTCTCTTAATTACTTGGGCTAAGAGGGAAAAGTCAAAAGTGGATTTTCTTTGGTACATGATGTGGATTTTCGTGATTGAATATTAATACCTTCTTTAATAAAAAAAAAAAATTCCACTTTATCTTGAACTCGCATTAACAACTCGTAATCCCTTTTCAGATTGCCTGCTGGGTGCCAAAAGCTGAGTCTACAGATCCAAGGCATGTTTCCTCTCATCTACTGAAGAAATAGTGAAATATTTTATCTTTTAATCAACCTCTTTTAACACTGGATCTTTCATCTCAGACAATATAAATAATATAATGATTTAATTATATTATTATTAATAAATTTATTTAGCAATATAAGTTGTATGTGCAATTGTTTTTTCAACAATAAAAAAAAAACTCTATATGATTGTCTTATTTCTATGCATATTAATAGTTTTGATTTCATTATATTTGTATTTTTATTTGATGTCAAAATTATATCATAAATTTTAAATTTAAATATATTAAATTATAATTTATTTTTTCTTTTAAAATTTAATCATAGTTCAACACACGCATATATATTAAATTTATTAAATTAAGATATTAAATAATATATAAATATAAAATTAACTAAATAATAAAAAATATTATACATATTATATTCGAAGCATAACATCTAAAACTTTATTATAGTTTGAACTCGGTTTAAAAAAAAAAAATTCAACTCAATCATCTTGAATCAGAAAAAAGTATCAATTATATTAGGACAAATCAAAACCATTAAATACAAATAATTTTATCCTTTTTATCTCAATTGATTTTTTATTATAAAATTTATCTAATACAAAATAAAATTAAAAAAATAAATATGTTTTTTTATTGTGTCTTACATGAAATGAAAAAGTAGCTATAAGTCACTCATCTGGTCATCAATCAACATATCTTTATTTGATAAAGAGTAACTTTAATCAAATTTGAAAAGAATACTTCACAGTATCATCGACAGTACTAAAACCTGTTATTAATGTCATCACCTTAATTTCTCTCTTCCAACCTAAAATCCCTTTATTCTTTATGATTTATGCTGTTTGTAATATCAATTTTAAGAATTTTCATTAGAAGAGCTCGGAAAACTTCCAAAAGTAATTTGATACCTCTTGATGGAGAAAACACAAAAATATATATATTTATTTTTATTCATGATTAATTATTGAAAAAGAAATTTCTACAATTATTTTCTCAAATACATAAAATGAATAAACTGTGAGGGCATTTTTGCCATAAAATATAACAATCAATAATTGTTATGGCCAGAAGCGCATAAGACTAAAATGAAGTGGAAGTTAATTTTGGAGGGCACATATGGTTGACGAAGACAATCTTATGTCCAAATTTAGGCAATCTTATTTGCACAAAGACTTGACCTCTTTGTCATAAAAAGAAAAAAAAAAGGGCTGTTTATGACTTTGCTCACGTGCTTGACCAGTTGGCCAAGGAATCAATGGAGGAAGGAAATGCAGTTGGAATGCGACACGACTGATGCAGCTGCATAAAATTGCAAATACAAGTTTTTTTTTTTTTGGCATTCCTTTATTACTTTTTGGCTAATATGTGATTAATTTTCCCTTAGTTGATATCCTAAAGTGTGCTTTCGAAATTCTTATAGTAGACTGATTGCCTTACCGCTTATGAAAAAAATTATATAAAAATGGTAAAATTTCATGAAATTTAAATATCGCTAAAATTGATTTGAGATCAAAATCCTTTTGGATTGATTAAAATGGCTTAAATATAAAAAATTTTGAAATAGAAAAAAATCAAATCCAGTTGGCAATCTTATTCAACAAAATAAATATTTTCTTCCTTTAAGATAATGAATTTGAAAGTGGATTTTTTCTTTTTTTTGGTACATGAATGTGGATTTTCATGATTGAATATTAATACCTTCTTTAATAAACAAAAAAAAAAAAATCACTTTATCTTGAACCCGCATAACAATTTGCAATCGCTTTCCAATTTGCCTGCTGGGTGCCAAAAGCTGATTCTAGAGATCCAAGGCATGTTCCCTCTCATCTACTGAAGAAATAGTGAGACATTTTTTCTTTTAATCAACCTCTTTAACACTTGATCTGTCATCTCAGACAAATACATGAAAATTAAATAATAATAAAATCTCCTCGCCTCTTTTTGAACCGGAAGTAACAATTGTTGGAATGTAGCTAGCTAAAATGCCCTACGAAACATTTTCTATATATGAAAAAAAAATACATAAATATGTGTAATGAGAATACACATTTTTTTAGCTTTCAAACCTTAAACCAATCCAAGCCAAGCCAAATCAACAGGTGCCCTCCTTTACATGCATCATCTTCTCCAAGCCAATGATTGGGTCACCCTCCATGTGTCAAATCCACAACATCATTATTACTAGTCATAAACAAATATGCTTTGATGATTTTAATAAATTTATTTATCAGCATAAATTGTATGCGCATTTGTTTTTCCAACAATAAAAAAATAAATTTTATATGATTGTCTTATTCCTATGCACACTAATAAGTTTTGATTTCGTTATATTTATATTTATATTTGATGTTAAAATCATATGTTATGTCTTAATATGAGTTTAATTATAAAAAATAAAAAAATTATTTAAATAAAAATTTATCAAAACATTCACAAATGGTATTTTGATTGAT